GCGGGCACCTCTCCCGCTCCCAGCCCAGCCGCTGGCCTCCAAATGGTGTTTACACATCCGAAGTGTTTATAGATTCCTGTCTGGAAGCAGAGCAAGCCCCGAACTCCAAAGTGAAACGCGGGCAGGACCTGCCAGATGTCGGATAACGAAGGGCAGGCCTGGCCTGCGAGGCTGGGGCACCTGGTGCTGAGGGACCAGCTGTCAGCTCCGCTCTGGGCGCAGGATTTGCTGCCCTGGCTGGTGCTTGGGGTCATTCCCAACCCTGCTGAGCTAGATTTAAAGCCTCCAACTATGGGGCCTTCCCTCGTGCACTTGGAGGACTGGTGTGTGTTCTGATGAGCTTGGCTCACAGGGAATTTTTCTAGGCATGCAGTCAAAACATTGCGGGGGGAGAAGCTAGCGGGGGCACGGGGATGAAAGGAGCCCGGGGAACCCTGCAGTCCCACGCGTTATCTCTCAGCGGGGAGCGTATCCGTGTCAACACGTGTGCTCCTCCTGCCGTTCTGCTGCGTTCTCCTGGCCTTGGATTTGCTTGAGGGATGGTATTCCAGGGAACCCTCATTCTTTTAGGAGTGGAGGTTGAATCGGGAGAGGCGATAACGTCTCTTCTGCCCTTCGTTCGGCTCCCTCTGGCCGAGCCTGTCTCCAGTGCCACTGCCAGGGTATTTGAAGGCAGGACAGGGGAGCAGCTGAGCAATCTCTGCCCGCGTGGCAGCAAAGGAAATGGTTTTGTGCTTTGCATGCGGCGTGTGCCCTTTGGGAGCTTGCCCTAGGCTAAGAGGGGCGCGTGTTTGTGGCTGGCGCAGAGGAGAAGAGGCTGTTTTTGCCGGCCGAGCCTGTTAAACCTCGTGGGCTCATCCCGATGGGAGCGCGAGCCGAGGCGGGAATCCCTGTGGACCAGCGGGGACTTAGTTTTGAGTCCATTTTAACAAACTAAGGAATAGATGAGGTGAAAAGATGCTTCTTTACTGAGGAGGGATGAGGCAGCGGTCCCTAAGGAAGGTCAGGGTGAAGGAGCCAAGGTGGTGACCCTGGGAGGGTCCCCAAGAGTTCGGGATACCGAGCGGAGCTGGGAGCAGCAGCCAGAAAACCCATGGGACAACGAGAAGTGCCAGGCAGAGCTGCTGCCCCGGACAAGCAGGGAGACCCTCCTGCCCCCTTCCTGCAGGGCTGGGATGAGCGGGGAGCCCGTCAGCTCCCGACGGGGAGGCGAAAGGCCGGGTCCCAGCCAGGTGCGGGAGGGTGACAGAAGTGCTGCTACCAGAAATGGAGACAGAAATGGGTCAAATAAATGAGTAATTAAATAAGCTTGCAGCTCTTGATATTCCTCCCCAGATTTGCATTTGCATGATTAGAATAAGCTTCCTTGGCTATTAAGGTCACTATGAATGCATCAGAAGGAAAAAACAATTGAGTTATTAAATATGCATTCGAGTGGCAGCAGCTTGAAAGGGGAAGCACCAGGCGGTGGCACCTCTGCCCAGCTGGCACGGAGGGCAGGGCGGCAGGACAGGGACTCGCTGCTCCCCTCCTGCCCAGCCCGGGCTCCGGCTGCTCCCGGGATGAGGTGCAAGTCCAAGAGGGACCCACAGCTCCCCATCCCCTTCCGCTGCGATTCACGGCAAGGGGCGTTTGCACCCCCCGATACCAACTGAATTGCTTGAGCCCTGGTGAGGTTGGTTTTAGGCAGATGGCTGCTTTTTTGTTGAAAATACTGTTTTTATTCAATTGGCCCTACCACCGATTTTTTTTAAGAGAGAGAAAAAAAAGTGGTCCATGTAAAGGAGCAGATTTGTTTGTAATTCGTATGTTTTTCAAATCCTTGCCCCCGCCTGCGCCCCGTGTCCCCGCTCCAGCTGCCGCGTTCCCGCCCGTTCCCGCCGGGGTCCCGAGGTGTCAGTGCGCTGGGGTGGCCGCAGGCTCCTCGCCTGCCTCTCCGGTGCCTTGGCTGATTCGAATCCCACGGGGCGGCGCAGCTTGTGCTGACAGCAGTCACCAAACCCTGCCACGTAACATCGAGGCCCGGCCTCAGGCAGAACAGGCGGCTCCAGTGGATATTGACCTTTCATCTAATTGGCAGCTTATTAGAAAGTGTGGGATAAAAAATATCCAGCCAATACCCAGATTCTCCTCTAGCTAAAAAGGGAGTCCCGATACCGTACAATGCTCTGTTTTGTCGGGCCCGGTGCAATGGTGTGTTGTAAATCCAAGCTTGTGTTTTGGTAGTGGGTGAGTTTGCAGGCTGCTGAAGGGTTGTCTCCTCCCCGCAGGTGCCTGTCCTGCGTGAACAGCGCTTTCCGCTGCCACTGGTGCAAGTACCGGAACCTCTGCACCCACGATCCCACCACGTGCTCCTTCCAGGAGGGCCGCATCAACGTCTCGGAGGTACTGCCGCCGCTTTAAGCACTTCCTGCGTCGCTCGTCCCATGGCACAAGTAGCATATCCAGGGTTGCTCTGGGGGGTTTTGCATTTCCAGAGGGCAGATGTGCACTCCTGGCTGGCCTCTAAAAGTGCAGAAGCAGCTTTGAAGAGCTGAACAAGGAAGCGTCAGTCTAGCAAAAGCAACGTGTCTCACCCTGAGCACCAAACCTCTGCTAAGTGGGGGTGCTTAAACTCGGTAATAGCTGCAATTTCCGTAGTGCTTTCCTTGAGGGATCTCAAGGACTTCTCAAAGACCAGCACATTTCTGTAACTCAGCTTTCTGTACAAGGCATGCAGGGATTTGCCCAGCAAATGACCAGGCGGATGCAGAGCTCTTGATGAGGCTCCTGGTTTTGCATCCAGTGAGTTGTGTTGGTAGGTCTGAAATTTGTGACTGTAGCCAGGCTGTAAACTAATTACGAAGGGAATTACAAATGTGAACAACCCCAATCTTTGAAAAAGAGAATAGACTTGGGTTCCGAAGCTGTGGCCCAGGAGCTGCCTCTGTTAAGAGTTAATAAAAGGCACAGGGCTCTATTCCAAAAGCACTTCTGAAAGTTGGAAGGAGGCACAGCCCACAAGCCACTTCACCAGACAGCAGTGAGGACACACACAAATACTGAACGAGCAAAGGAGGAGGATTAGCAAGGCCAAAGATGAACCTTCCTAAGTAGACACAGAGTGAATGGATGAGAAAGGGAGGAAGGTCAGTCATGGGGGTAAAACACTGAGCCATTAAATGGAGGCGACTCGAGCTCCCAGGCTGCCAGCTAAACCAACATTAAACCTCAAATTTAAACAGCACATGTGCCTTTCTGTTTAAAACGGTGTCAAGAGGCACCCGGGCACAAGGCAAGAAATGTTAATGAACTGCACGTTACTTCAGTGAGGATCTGCAGCAGTGAAGGGATGGAGAGTAGCCAGGAGCAGGCAGCAGCCCCCATGAACTGCATCGTGCTGCAAAGGCAGGTGCCCACAGAGATGCACCTGCCCTGGGGACAAGCCAAAGCTTTTTGACCACTTCAAAACCAAGAAACTTCCTTTTAAGACAGCAAGAGAAAGGAACAACCTTTGCTTTTCCTTCTGTCAAGAGATGTGGGCTTCTTTTTCTTTCACGCTCAAAGCATTATCTGTCTTCCCAGGCTTTACAATTATAGTCCTCATTTTTATAGGTCTTCAACCCTATGATATCAAAAATGTTTTTTAAAGCTTGACAACTCTCCGGTGAAGTAGGACAATGCCATTATCTCCATTTTCCCTTGGGAAAGCACCGGAGATGATTACCTGAGATCACACAGAGCGAGTGGAAGGGCTGGTGTCTGTCTGCCCGTTCCTGCTGTGATCTGCAGAGCCACAGGACTCTGCTGTCTCCAAACTGCTGCTTCATCTCGCAGGGCTTCGGGCAGTTTGCGTCTTACTTTGCTGCTTTGCTTCAGTTTGCCAGTGGATGCAATGTGCTGACTAATGCCTTTTTGGTGATTGCTTTTGATAAGGGCTAATGGTAACAGTACGGATGGTTTACTCTTCATCATGATGCCTCTGCACTTCTGAACACACATGCGAACCCAGCCCTAATTTGTTTGCTTATTTAAAGTAAATGAATTGCCACTTGTGTACACAGTGCAGTTCTAATGTCTTTATTATGGGTATCTCACTCCTGCTAACACATCAAATAAATGCCTCATAAAAGTTTCCTCACTTAAAACAATCCGGATCACAATGTTCTCATTGTGTCACGGCCTGATATATTGGCAAAATGTTTGTGCTTATCAACATCATTCCGCTCATAGCAGCAAGTCTATTGTGTTTGGAAACAGAACATTAATAACAGCGCTTCAGCCAGAACTGCCTCCGTGAGGGAGGATTCCGAGCGCGCCGCGCGGAGCTACGTGCTGGCCTACTTTCAGTCCCATGTGCATGTTCTCTTGTAAGGTTTGCACACATGTTTACATGGGGCTGGAAGTTCTCCTGTGACTTTATATTTACTAGAAAATATCCCGAATGTTCCCTTTTACCCTTGGCCCCTCGTAACTCGTGTCCCAGGTGGATCCAAGTGTGCACCTTACTCCCTTTGGTGCCACTAGTCAACAGCCCTAGGAGGGGAAGGGCCGGTGCCAAAATCCCCCATTTGTGCAGCCTTTTCCTAGCCCTTCTTTACATGCAGAAGTGCCTGCTCAGACCCTGCTGCCTAAGGAGCAGGGAGAGGAGCAGGCCAGAGACCTGCACAGCAAGGTCTCTGCAGAGGAGACCTCGGGTTTTGCAGCGCTCATGGTCTCGCTTTGCACAGCTTCAATCCCAAGGTGCAGCACAAGGAGCTTCGAGACCTTTGCTGTGTCCAAGCAGGCCTGTAATACCATTTAAATGTGAATGAGGGGGTTGGATCTGTGTGCGTGTAAGGCTTATGGCTATAAAATGTGTCTCTGTAAATGTATAAAACATGCAGGTGAAGAGGAGTGTAGCAACATGGATCTATTCTTACACGCATCCCCGTGGAGAGCTCGAAGCAAATGAATCCTATTAACTTCCCAGGCTGGGATCCGTGCCCTCTTTGATGGCCGCTGTGTGCAGATAATGTTGTTGCCACATGTGAGATGCTGAACGGGGGAGCGGAGCGTTTCACATTCCTGCAGCTTAGTGCAGAGCCAGATTTCAGCTCTGTTCTGGCTCCTTGGAGTTGAGGTTTAAATTATGACTTTGAGAGCAGTTTCTGTGCACCACGTTGTACCTGTTGATGCTCACTGCTGCTTGATGCTGCTGGAGAGAAATAAAACAACGTAGAGCTCTCCTGTATCTGTCCCTCAGTCCCCATCTCTGAATACCTGAAGGGAAACTGATGTGGAGGGACAAATAGGGGTGTCATCTAAGCCCGCTGCGGTCAGCAAATGACTCTCTGTTGGGTGACGTGTAACTCCTAGAGATGTGTGTGTGTGAACGAGTACCCATAGCAACAAAAAGCCCGGGTGTGCAGCAAGAATAACTCGTCTCTATTTGGAAAGCTTCATTTGAGCTTGTTGGCAACCCCTTTTTGTCAGTAGATTTGTGGTATATGGGAGCTGCAGTGTTTGCGCTTCGGGGGAAAGGAGCGACGCGGGAGAAGGCGCCGCGCGGGGCCGGGGCGCTGCCAGGAAGCAGAGCCCACCTGTATTTACACGGCTGTAAATACGGCGCTTTGTAAAGCCCAGGCCAAGCATGGGGTACAGCACGGCGTGCAGGACCAAAGGTCATGAATTGAGCAGTGAGAAAAGTCCAGCTTCAACTGACTCTCCTTTTTATGTGTGGTTGCTAAGGGGCAAGACCTGCTCTCCTTTCCAGTAGCATAAATGAAGAGTAATGTGTCTGCATGAGTAATGGAGACTGTAATTTATATCACTGGGAACAAACTAGGAGCCAAGGGTTTATGTTCATGTGCCAAGTTCATTTATGTTTCCAACTTTAAAGTGTGTGTAGTTAAGTGATGTTTGTAGAGATGTTTTTTAAGATGACAAGTACAAAAATCTTGTATTTTCTTCCATTTGAGTGAAATTCCATCATCAAAAGGAGGGTCTTCCATTTCTAGCGGATTTTTTGCAAATAGAACAAAAAAAGAGCAAGAAGATTTGACCTGTTAAAACTGTTCTGTTAAGCACAAATAATAACCCTGGGTGCTCTGATCTGCTCCAGAGGAAGATGCAAATCTCTGGTGTTGGAGATGTTTATAGACCTTGCAATCTTTGAGGCTAAAAGGTGCTGGAGAAGCGTAAGATATCTTTATAAATTATGTGTGATGATGTTTCATACAGAGGCTATTGCTTACAAGTCTGTACCACTCGTGCCTTGGAGCCTTGTCTTTCCCCAGCAGATCTCCTGGTTTGTGTTTATTGTGGTTTACAGAAGTCAGGGAGATAATGAGAGAATTGAGCGCGTGTTTGTTTAGCGAGAGGAGGTAATAACGGCCTTTCTGGTGCAGGCAGGATTTACTCCTCATGAATTAAAAAACAAAGTAAACTGATTAGGGAACAAATTGCATATTCCGCTGCCTGCAATCCTCTGTTTTCTCCGTATTTCCTGGGTTCCCGGATCCTGCGGTGGGAAGCGAGCGGAGCGGGCAGAGCTGGTGCCGCCGGCCCTGGCAAACCTGCGCCCTCCCCAAGCCCTGCAGGTTTCAGGAGCCTCATTCGCTCGTCAGATAAATTCAGCAGCAGCTGCAATTTCCTCCAATGTGACATCTTTTCTGCCAGTGAAACCCCGGCTCGAAGAAAAGGAAAAGAATCTGTTACATCCTGCTCGGCTCTAATGACGGTAGAACAATTTTTGCTACCTGCATTTGCAGTACTAGGGAGCAGGCCTGGAAACGCAAGCCCCCTTCTAGGAAAATGCATTTCTTAGCAGTCGTGTCACGACTGGCAGTGGCCAGAAAGGATAATGGTCCAGAACGTGCTCGTTTTTCTCAGGTCTGCGCACTGTGATTCTACCATTGGTGATATGGTTAGAGATTTTTTTTTTTTTATCACAAGGAAATAAAAGATTTTACAATTCCTTTCCTCCCAGAGATGGCTCCTCAAAGCCAGGGAAGCTCTGTGGACCCCTTCCTCCCCTGCACCGCACTGAGGCTGAATGCAGAAGGTTCAGATGCAGTGAGGTCTTGAGCGCAAGACGGCAGATGTGTGGGAACATGCAACAAGAAGGAAGCAGTGTTTGTGCAAGGACAGCGTGGGTTTGGGGAGGGAATATGCCGTGAATCCTCATGGTTTGCTGGGCTTTACTTCCCTTCCAGCAGAGCTGGCTTCCTCGCTGTTGGAGCTTAAAATCACTCCTGGCTGTTAATCCGTGAAAGTCCCTGTTAGAAATAAAATAAAAAATATATAAGGAAAAGTGCCACTAAAAAGGTTTATGAGGCAGCAGTTTAAGCTACTGGCTCCTCTGAGCGCGGGAGCATCTGGTTCTGGTTTACGACGTGCCCGAGCTGCCGGCGTCGCGGCGCGTTTGGGCAGGAGCCGTGGCCGTGTCCCCGCGCGCGGGGCAGAGAGGGGACACAGCCCTGTTCCCTCTGCAGAATTCTGCTTTAGCTACAGGCACTAAAGGGCAAAGTCCCTTTGCTGCAGGAGCCTCCAAGTCACCGCAACCGCTCCACACTTCCTGCAGGAGTGGCAGGCTTGGCAGACGAGGCAGATTTGCCCAGGAGCACCGCGGCGGCGTGTGGCGGCCCAGGGAGGGCGGACGGGAGGTTTTGCCCGGCCGGGGCTGTCGGCTGAGCCTCCCCGTGCCCTCTGCTCTCACGTGTCTCCCCAGGACTGCCCGCAGCTCCTGCCCGCCGAGGAGATCCTCATCCCTGTGGGAGAGGTGAAGCCCATCACGCTGAAAGCGCGCAACCTGCCGCAGCCGCAGTCGGGGCAGCGCGGCTACGAGTGCGTCCTCAGCATCCAGGGCGTCATCCACCGCGTGCCCGCGCTGCGCTTCAACAGCTCCAGCGTGCAGTGCCAGAACAGCTCGGTGAGGCTGCGCGCGGGATGCGGCAGTGCCGGGACGCGGTTAGGGCAGGATCCCAGCCCTGGTCCAGGAGCCGCGTTGGGAGTCCTGTTGGGAAGCCCTTGCTCATCGTCCCATCACTGCCCATCCGCAGAGACCCGCGGGCAAACAGGGCACGTTGGGTTTGTTTTAGGCAGTGGAATGAAGGACTTCAGGGCCTGCTTTAATATGCAGTGAAGATGGTCTTAAATTGTTAATGAAGTTTTGAATTTTTAAAAATTTCACCAGATATTTATACCTCACTGGCTGTCTTTGGGCACCGTGGCCTGGTGGCTAATAAATGCGTCACTCCCCTTAGTACTTCTCCTGTCCGAAGTGGTTTATAAACGTGAGGAAAGCCCCTTTATCACTGTTGGGCAAATAGAGAATAGCAGGTAGAGAGTTTAAGGACAATTCTCCTCCCACAGGTCTGTCAGTTGTGCGGAAGATCTGGTCCCTCTCTGACTTAATTATGTTTTCCTGGGGAGCAGGGATGGGGTCAGAGCTGAAGTGCAAACCTGTTGGTCACTCAGGCACCTGCACAGGGTTTTTAAGCAGAGAATTGGCATCATCCTGTGCGTGTGGCTCTGCTGCCTCCTCCCCAGCGTTTCATTCTCCACCTTCTTGTCTAGTACCTCTACGATGGGATGGACATAAGCAACCTAGCCGTGGACTTTGCCGTGGTTTGGAACGGAAACTTCGTCATCGACAACCCCGAGGATTTGAAAGGTAGCGGGTGCCTTCCTGGGAGCGGGCAGAGCTGCGTTGCTGCA